TGTGCGGACGACATGATCTATCGACCGATTGAGCCACGCGAAGTAAGCCAACACGTAAAACAAAGGAGAGATGGTCCACGCAGGTCAGTCCATGCATGGCCTGCATGCCAACTTTCGTCGATCCATCGAGCTGACTCCTACTCCTTTGGTTCAGAATTATTTGTCCTGGATTTGTCTATATACAAATGTATCTAGACTCATTTTAATGCTAGATACCTCCGTATCTAGATAAATCTAAAACAAATAATTTAGAAGGAAGGGAGTACATGTTTACTCTGACAGACGGATGGATCCAAACATGCAACATGCAGAGTCAGCCTTTCACTATGCTGCATGCATGGATCATGGATGCATGCTGACCTTTCGTTTCATTGAATGAAGCTGGCCCGCGTGTCGGCATCACAGGCTGCTCCAAGCCAGCACACACGACAGAAGGAAATCATGCACGCACAGGCACAGCAGCGGCTGGCCATGCATATGCATGCAGCCACGTTGACGACACATAGCTAGCTGGAAGATGCTTGCCCTGGGCAGCACGGGTCAACACCTCGTCGTATCCCGTGGCGGCCCTAATTAATTGGACTTGGTCCGTTGCGATCATGGTCGATCACCCCACTCGCTCGATCGGCCGGGCAAGAGGTCAACCCCTAATGCCAACAAACCACGCATGCGTATGATTCAACATTGTTCACTCACCCATCGACCGGTGGAATCTACCTTTGCACAGCTTCGATCCGATCCGTGTCCTTCCTACGGTCGTATGGAGATGCGGCCAGTTGGTTTAACTTTTATCTTATTATTAGTTTTTGATTACAGTCTTTCGTTACTGATTGATCTTTAGTTAACGGCCGTGTCCTAAGGCTAGTGCACCGGCCGGGGTGAGACGTCGGATCAGCCTCGTCACCGGCCGTTGGATCTTATCTAGGCGGAAAAAAAAAATAAGCCGTAGCAAAATCCCAGCGCATAACATTTTCCTTATGCGTTTGAAATAATCATCTGTAGCAGACCCTCCAAAGTCATCGCAACATGTTGGCCGTATGTTTGTGGCAAAACCTAAACCAGGATGTTGCATGCCAACCAAACGTGTGCACCATGAAAAAAAAACACAAAATAGTAACCTTCTGCCACGAAATTATGTATCATTTGTTGAAAATTTTGGGACGCCCGAAATGCCCAAGTCTTCCGATCCTTGGATCTTGACATTGGCGTGGTAAAAAAACAATATAGAATAGATTTTTGAGTATGTTGGTAGGGACCGGTCATCCCATCCTTGGTGACTTAGCTTTATGGGTACATAGATTAGCTGGAAAGGGATCATGTCGGTCTGTGGCATGATCATATGTATCATCACGACCTAGAACTCTTGTAACAAACCTCGTTGTCACGGCGGC